TTTTTGAAGAAAAGTCTGTAGATACTTTAGAAATATCTCCAACGAAAGCCAAACAATACAATTTGGATGAATGTGCTAACAGCTCGATAGTAGCTGCAGTTCCTGCAAATGAAATGATTCCAGATATGTCTATGGGTTGTGGTTTTCAGACAGCTTCTGGGAAAGGTGTGAACATTAGTGCCAAATCATTAAAACATGTCCAAGACATCTTCAGAGAAGAATCCATTTATAATCAATCTCCTGATCATCATACAAAAGTAAATCCATCTGCTAATGATTCTATAATGCGGTCCAAAGTTATTGAAACAAAACTAGATGGTAAGGAGTCTTTCCCAAACCCTGATTTATTTCAAACTGCCTCTGGTAAAGGGATAACAGTAGATAATTCCTCTTTGAAACATGTTCAAGATATATTCAAAGAGGACAATCTACCAAAAGCATCAACCAATGTATTTCAAACTGCCTCTGGTAAAGGGATAACAGTAGATAATGCCTCTTTGAAACATGTTCAAAATATATTCAAAGATGACAATTCACTAAAAGCATCAACCAATGTATTTCAAACTGCCTCTGGTAAAGGAATAACAGTAGATAATGCCTCTTTGAAACATGTACAAGATATATTCAAAGAGGACAATCTACCAAAAGCATCAACCAATGTATTTCAAACTGCCTCTGGTAAAGGGATAACAGTAGATAATGCCTCTTTGAAACATATTCAAGATATATTCAAAGAGGACAATCTACCAAAAGCATCAACCAATGTATTTCAAACTGTCTCTGGTAAAGGGATAACAGTAGATAATGCCTCTTTGAAACATGTTCAAGATATATTCAAAGATGACAATTCACCAAAAGCATCAACCAATGTATTTCAAACTGCCTCTGGTAAAGGGATAACAGTAGATAATGCCTCTTTGAAACATGTTCAAGATATATTCAAAGAGGACAATCTACCAAAAGCATCAACCAATGTATTTCAAACTGCCTCTGGTAAAGGGATAACAGTAGATAATGCCTCTTTGAAACATGTTCAAGATATATTCAAAGAGGACAATCTACCAAAAGCATCAACCAATGTATTTCAAACTGCCTCTGGTAAAGGGATAACAGTAGATAATGCCTCTTTGAAACATGTTCAAGATATATTCAAAGAGGACAATCTACCAAAAGCATCAACCAATGTATTTCAAACTGCCTCTGGTAAAGGGATAACAGTAGATAATGCCTCTTTGAAACATGTTCAAGATATATTCAAAGATGACAATTCACTAAAAGCATCAACCAATGTATTTCAAACTGCCTCTGGTAAAGGGATAACAGTAGATAATGCCTCTTTGAAACATGTTCAAGATATATTCAAAGAGGACAATCTACCAAAAGCATCAACAAATGTATTTCAAACTGCCTCTGGTAAGGGGATAACAGTAGATAATGCCTCTTTGAAACATGTTCAAGATATATTCAAAGATGACAATTCACCAAAAGCATCAACCAATGTATTTCAAACTGCCTCTGGTAAAGGGATAACAGTAGATAATGCCTCTTTGAAACATGTTCAAGATATATTCAAAGATGATACATCTCCTCACGTAGAGACTGAAGAGCATAAAGCAGTTAACAATGCCTCTTCAAAAAATGCCCAAAATATGCCTCTTAACATTTCAAATAACAATAGTACTTCCACCAGTGTCGTTGGTCATTCTGATCAGGGTCAACAATTGGTACCAAAGATAGACAGTCAGAAACCACCCAAGCCTATTAAACCTTGTTTTGTGACACCAGATAGAAGAAAACCAGCTCATCCACAATCAACACCAAGATCATCAAAAAATACTGTTCTTCATGATAAACCAGGTCAGTTATTCTTAAGTTAATATACTTTATTGATGGAATGGTCAATTCTTTAGAAATTTATCCATTCAATTAACTTTTATTGCCGACTTGGAATGCCAATTTTTCTTAGATAATATGGTGCTGGTGCTTATATGGTAAAGAGGGCTGGTTATTGAGTTAAGCACTTTTCTGGCTTAC